CTTCCCAGGCGTGCGCCCGGTGGGCTCAGCTCCAGTGAGGAGAGCGCTCCTCCCCACTCACTTCAGGAGCCCGCCCCAGGACTGACTTCCTGGGTCTGATCGGCCTGTCTGTAGTCACCATGGTGGGCTGTGCTGAGTGGCCAGGCTTGGGGCACGTGCTCACTCTGGAAGATGAGGGATCCCTCCGCAGACGGAGGGGCGTGGTTTTTGGAGAGGCAGGGGTGGCCCGGGCCCACGCAGTCCAGCCCCGCCACCGCCACCGGTGGGCCTGACCGCAGGCACAGGATGTGAGAAGGTGATAAGTGCTCCTGGAAAAATAGTAAAGAGGTTGGCATGTCAGAGGGGGCCAGGCAAGGGAGGTCTTGCTGAGAAGGTGACCTTTAAGCAAAGCCCTGGAGGGGAGGGAATGCGCCAAGAGAGTGCGCGCCCGAGCACACGCACTGTAGCTGGGGACAGAGTGTCAGGAGAGGGAACAGCGAGAGCAAAGGCCCCGAGCACAGCTGGAGTTAGGGGTGGAGGAGGGATAACCAAAACTCAGCATTTCTTCACAGCCCTGTCTCCGTTAGAGCCCATATGTTTGGTTTCTTGCTCACTAGAGTCCCCAGGACAGTGGCCACCTCTAGCTTTTCACCGCTGTATCCCCAGTGCCCTCATGGGCCTGACAGCCAGTAGGTGTTAAAAGAAAGGAAGAGACAAGGCGGGGAAGCAGCATCTCCCAGGTGCTGTCCTCTCCCTCCTCCCCGCACTGCACCCTCCTCAAACTTGGCACCGGCTCTGAGGGATCCCCAGCAGCCCACGTTCTGGTCTGGGGAAGATGCGTGTGTAGGAAGTAGGTCCGTTTTGAAATGAGAAAGTTGAGTGTAGGGAAGCCGCTTTTTGAAATTTTTTATTTTTGGTGCCCACTGTCTAGACCAGGTATTGTACACACCTTTCAAACCCTGTTTTACTGACATGACTCCCACTTGGAAACGGAACTGAAGCTCAAAGAGATGAAGTGGCGTCGTGAAGGCGCAGCCTCCGTGCATCCCCCTTCGCCTTCTGCCTAAAACCCAGTTGACAGCAAGAGGACAGGAGCTGTGGGCAGCCAAGAGCGGGCGCCGGGCAGGCTGCGCTCTGCAGGCAGGCGGTTAGCACGCCGGGTTGAAGGGGCCCGAGCAGCATGGTTGGGGAGCACCAGCTCGAGTGCCTCTGGTCCCTGTGATGAGGACTCAGTGTGGCTGGCGTTCCTTATCACCAGGTGCCATGTGGAGGTGGGAGACTTGGCCTTTGGGTAAATGAGGTGGGAGGAAATAGAGCTTATGAGCTGGGGCCCGCTGGCCTGCTCAAGATTCCTTTTGTTTGTTGTGGTGGGATTTTTTTTTGTGTGGTGAACTATGTAAAAAATTTTCCCTTTGAACCATTTTTAAGTGTGCAGTTCAGCGCTATCAAGTACATTGACAGTGCCGTGCAGCCAGCACCATTATTTCCAAAGTACAGCAGGTCTCCGAGTAACGTCCATCGTTGTGATCAATGTCAATTTTTTGCAATAGGAAAAAATTGATTCTGGGTCGGGGCCACTGCATGGGTTTGCTCTGGCCACTAGTGACTCTGAGCTGGTTTGGAAAATAACTGCCTTGTTTTTATTAATCTTTCTTAAGCATATGTATAGCTGACGTTTATTTGAGTATTTAGTATCTTTTGGGTCTTCAATTAGAAATGTGATTTTTTTGTGTGTGTGTGACCAGAAATATGCTGTAGGAACTTAACACTTGTTCATATCAATTAGCCTATGGTAAAACCAGTTTTCTTATACATTGTTTCGCTTGAAGTCCCAGTTTCCAAGAACCTATAGATGACTGTAGAGTCAGTGTCACTCTGAATAGAAACTCTGTATCCATTGAGCCATAACTTCCATCCCCCAACCCCTGGCCTGGGTAACCACTAGTGGATTTTTTCCTCTATGAATATGCCTCTTCTAGATACTGTATATAAGTGGACTCATTTAGTATTTGTCGTCTTGTGTCTGGCTTTTTCTACTGAACATGATGTTTCAAAGTTCATCCATATTGTAGCATGTGTCAGAATAGCATTCCTATTTTATGGCTAAATAATATTCCACTACACAGCTAGACCACTTTTCGTTTATCCATTTATCTGGCAAAGTTTTTCAAAATGTAAACATCATGTGTCAGCCACTAGTATTTTAAAATCTGGGTATTCACATACTGTTGCAGATTTCTGATTTTTTCTAAAAGCTTGGAATGCATGGCCACATGGGGTCTGGGCTCTTGGGGCCTCTCAGGTTCCATCTGCCCAGCCACTTTCCTTACCACACTGCAGTACCGTCCTAGTAGCGGGGAGGGGGCGTGTGTCAGCGCCTATGGCTCCCTGGCTGGGCAGCCCTGGCGGTGGGGGGGCTGCGGCAGGCACTGGCAGCTCAGGAGTCTGGGCCTCCACCCTGGGCCCTGAGCCTAGGAGTGCCGGCCTGGGCATCCTCGCAGTGCCGGAGTCTCCTGCTCACTCAAGCCTGTGGAGGCACGGGGCTCAGGCGGCATGTACTCCTGGGAGAAAACCTGGTCAGGGAGGCAGGTGGTTGGGGTGTTGTCTCTGGACCCGTACAGAGGGTGGCACTGCAGGGGGCTGTGGGCCCCATCCTCATGCTGAGTGAAGTGACAGCTCACTGTGGTAGCCGCAGACCCTCCTAGCAACTAAAGACAGTGCCCTCCAAGGTCAAGCAAGTGGTTTGTTAGGACTGATGCCAGGTTGTGAAGTGACACCTGCAAGGTGGGCTGAGAACAGGCACCTGCCAGAGCTCACACCCTTGCCTGGCTGGGGCCTCTCCAGCAGCAGGCCCTGTCCTTGTGGGAGGAGGGCAGCTCCAGGACCAGTGCTGGGCCACGTGAAGGAGGCTTGTGGTACCCCTAGGCAGGGGTCGGGGCTTGCATCGCTCCTTCCTAGGAAGAGAGGAAAAAGGAGGGCAGCTTTGAGGCAGGCCTGGAGGTTCACTGAACTGGAGGCAACATGGCAGGCAGACAGCAGCTCCCCAGCAAAGGTCTAGAAATGCGGGGCCTGGCGGCGGCCAGGATAGCGGGCTCGGGGAGAGGCTGCAGAGGTCCCAGGGCCGCGAGTACACTGGGCAGGAGTCTGGACTCTGCTCGGCAAGCTGTGGGGAGCAGGGCAGTGATGACGATGCCAGGGCTAGAAAACAGTGGGGTGGGGGTGCATGTAATGGAGGGAAGCTGGGGTGCTGAAGAGGGGGCCGCCAAGGACAGTGGGTGGGGTGGGTGTGGCCTGGGAGTTGGCAGGTGGTGGTGGCCCATTTAGTTTTATGTGGTTCAGTGATTCACATTTGCCCCGCCTCCCCCACCCCCCCACCCCGGGCCTGCACCTTGGTTGTGGTCACTACTTTGTCTCCCAACTGGGACAGAGCCAGCCTGCAGTAGGTGCTCAGTAAATACTGCTGGGTGATGTGTTCATTTCACAAACGTCTGGATTGGTACTGGAAATACTGCCATAAGAAAACCAGACTAACCCATCTGTGATGAAGGAGCAGGGGGTGGGTGGTGAGGTCCCAGAGGTGTAGCAGGACCAAAGGCTGGGGACTCTGGGGTGTAGCTGAATGAGGGGGAGCACTCGGGCGGCTTTGAGAAGCTGGAGCTGCCCTGCAGGAGGACGGAGGGAGCTGTGGCAGCGCGGAGGAGGGCGGGCAGCCTGGCCCGGGGGACCTGCGGTAGCCGAGGGGGAGGGGTGCCACTGCGCCTAGACCTTTCCCATCCCCCCTCTGCCCAGGGCCCCGACCGCTTGATGGGCAGCCCGACCCCGCCCCCGGGCAGCCGGAAGACCAGCGATTGGTTGGGGCTCTAGAGCCGCTTCGTCGCCATGGGGACGCTCTGGCGGTGCGCGTGCCTAGCGCCCAGCACTGGGGACTAAATCTTCATAATCTGCCGGCTGGGAGGGTGGGGGTGGGGCCCTCCGCGACCCTGGCCTGGGGGAAGGGGTGGCCTGGGGTGCCGCCAGGGCTCACGGTGGCCGCCCCTCCCCCAGCCGCTCTGGGTGCAGGCGCAGGGCCGCTGGGGCACCAGGGCACCACGGGGACCCACGCTGTACTCACCTGACAGTGACCCGGGACCCTCGGTCTCTTGTCTCATCACATCACGCAGAAGGCTGGGGCGGAGTGGGGAAGCGGGGCCTTGAATTTGTCTGAAAATGTCTAGCCTATCAGTTAGTTTGTCCTTCCAGGTCCATAGGCAATGCTGTCCTCTCCGCAGCAGGGGGCGCCCTCGGCCGAGCTTTGTTGGGCTGTCACCTCACCAAAGCTGGGATGGCCCATTGAGGTGCAGGGCATGCAGACCCCACACCCTGCAGCCCTCTCTCCCGTGTCCAAGGTTACAGGGCCAGGCACAGGGGGCAGGTGTGGGGGGCGCTGTGTCCTTGCACTTAGACTGCCATGATCAGGCTGGGCCTGCTTGCAGGAGGGAGCCATCCCTTGCTCCTCAGGCAGGGGAAGGAAAAATCCAAGGGCCTGTTGTGGGGAGGAGGTCCTGTGGGGGGAGGGTGTGAAGGCGCAAGGTGGTGCAGGGGGCATTGGCCAGAGCCCAGGCAGCATCTGAGATTGCAAGGACCCCTGGCAGGCATCAGGCCAGTCGGACCTGAGGTCCCAGCCACTCACTCCCACACCCTTGAGGCTGGGCCTCGCTGGGCCTCCCAGGGCCTCCCGGGAGCCCGGATATGGCACATAAGGGTGTGGAATTCAGGACCACCACACCCTGCACACTCGTGGCCACTCTAGTCCTGATGGCCCAAGATTGTGGCAGAGGGACCCCACCCCACCTCTAGCAAGGCTGGCCCCCTGGAATATCTAAAGGGGACAGCAGGGCTCACCGCCTGCCCAGGGATGCTTGTGAGGACAACACAGGGCACGTCCTCTCTGGGGCACTCTTGCCCACCACACCTCGAAGGAGGTCTTAGGGGACAGCAGGTGCTGGGGTGGGTGGGCCTCACACCCAGGCCTCTTGTTTCAGATGACTCCTCCTCTGAGAGTGGCAGCGGCAATGGTTCCTCCACCCTGAACCCATCCACGTCCAGCAGCACGCAGGGTGACCCCGCCTTCCCCGAGATGAATGGCAACGGCGCTGTGGCCCCCATGGACTTCACGGCCACGGCTGAGGATCAGCCCATCAACCTGTGTGATAAGCTCCCGCCAGGCACAGCACTCGGCACGCCCTCCTACCCCTCTGACAGCTGCGGCACAGATGGACTGCGGAGCCGCGTCAAGTACGGGGTGAAGACCACCCCTGAGGTGTGTGAGGCTGCGGGCCCACCTGAGCCTGGATGCCTTGGGGCGTGCAAAGCTGAAGGGAAACTGTATGTGCCAGGAGTTGATGCCAGTCAGGGCAGGGGCCAGGGCTGCTCTGCCGTCATTTTCCTGGGGAGGCTGTGGGACGGGAGACCACACGGAGTGACCTCAGCAAGGCCCTCACTTCTCTGAGCCCGTTTCCCCATCTGTGTAGCAGGGCTGATGGCCCCTGCCTTGGAGGAGGTGACGCATGATGTGTGGTGTGTCCCCTTCCATCCAAGACAGAGTTTGCTGTGAATAACAGCAGCAAGCGGCCACATCCAGCCCAGCGCCACAAGGCCTCACGGTTCCCGGATGCTCTGCCGGCCCGTCCCCAGTTTTACAGGTGGTGTAGGAGAGGGGCAAGGCCTGTGTGGCTCAAGGGCTGCAGATGTGTGGAACTCAGTAGACCAGGCCGACGGGGCGTGGGAGAAGGGTGGGCAGGGCTGGTGCTCTCACCATGTGCTCCCCCCCCAATACTTAGGCAGTGGCACAGTGCAGCACTGGGTGCCTGAGCTCTCCTGGGAGTGCTGTCTCCTGCCAGGGCCGGCGGCCAGAGGTGCCTTCTCAGAGCCCGGCGTGAGTGGGCCTAGCCACATACCCCTGCACACGTCCCTTCCCCTCCCTCAGCCTGTTTTCTCGTCTGCAGGGGGGTGGCGTATCTCATAGGAAAACTGTACAAAGGGCTGGGTGTTTAGCTGTTGCTGTGGTCTGAGCTCTGGCTGCGCAGCAGGTACTGGTCGGAGCGTGGCCTCCCCTCGTTGGGTCTAAGGAGAAGGCCTAACTGCTGTTCCTAGTGAGCGAAGAGCTGAAGCGGGCGAGTTTGCCACCATGGCCTCAGGCCCTGTGCGTGGGCCCAGGAAGTGAGATGAGAACGGGAGCGCCAGCAGCAGTCCCCCCCCCGCCCCCGTTTCTCTGTTCCCTCTCACCCCGGCAGCGGATGGGCTAAGCAGCGGCTTGGGACTGGACTGGCACTTGACACTCCATCTCAAGTCTGGCACGGGCCAGCAGGAGGCCAGAGGACCGGGGTGTCCCTGTGCCTGGGGAGGCTAACCCCTGTGGAAAGGGCCACGGGGTGGCCTGCTGGTGGCAGCTGCTGTGGGCCTAGGCACCAGTCAGTGTCCATTTCCCCCCATTTGTTCACGAACAAGAGTTGTGTCCCCTTCTGGGCCACCATGTGGCCACACAAAAGGGTCTGACCTGCGGCTGTTTGTTTCCTGGGCCCAACTATCTGCTAGATGCTCACCTCCTTGAGGACAGGGACCATGTTCCCAGGACACTGGTAGTCAGGGACCCAGTGAGTGAAGTCAGGACTCACCAAAGATGCAAACTTCCTAAAAGGCAAATGACAGTGGTCATCAGGTGGCAGCTGAGTTGCAGAGGGTGAAAAAGATGAAGCCAGCCCGGAGGAGAATGGGAGTGCGTTCGGAGGGGGCGGGGCCTTCTCCGAGGTAGGCCAGGTGCACCCCCGCCCCCCAGGCTGCGCCTGCCTCCCCCTCCCCACGGTATACTCGCACTCTGTATCGGGGCTCGCATGTCTTCCTGGGGGTGGCGGCAGACAGGAGAACCCCAGCCTGCGAGCCTTGGGGATACACTTTGCCTAATGGCCCTGTCGCCTCGTCTGGCTCCCCCTCCCAGCCCATCTGTTCCTCCTCTTCCACAGACAGCACACTGGCTGCTTTTGTGACAGCTCGGTTGTCAGCTCAGGGTTGCAGCCCCTTGGGGGTCTGGTGGGGGGAACCTTGAAGCCAGAACAGATCTGGTACAACCAGAAGAGGCTGGCTGTTGGTGGGAACCCTTTCGGCGCCTGCCTTTCCCCCACGCAGGGTGGCAGGGCATGGTGCAGGCACTGCAGCTTGGAAACCACTACACCCTCCACCCCAGGCCTCTGGGGCGCCAGGCTCTGCGTGAACTGCTGTAGGCAGTCTGTACAGCCACCCAAGGAGGGGGCGCAGCATGGCTGTCCCCATTCACAGATGAAGGGAATGGGGACGGGAGGTGACTTGCTCAGGGCCTCGCAGCTGTGGCTTACGTGGCAGCGGGGTGTGCTTGCCGCCCCAGTTCCCAGGCTCACCGTGGCCTGTCAGAGGCCATGAGGAGGCCTGGCCTGACCCCCGCCCTGTCCTCTCTCAGTCCCCGCCCTACAGCTCGGGGAGCTACGATTCCATCAAAACTGAGGTCAGTGGCTGCCCTGAGGACCTGACTGTGGGTCGGGCTCCCACAGCAGATGACGACGACGACGACCATGATGACCATGAGGACAACGACAAGATGAACGACTCGGAGGGCATGGACCCTGAGCGCCTCAAGGCCTTCAATGTGAGTGCCGGCGCGGGACTGGCAGGGTGGGGGCAGCAGCCAGGGCCAGCCCTTCCCACAGCCCTTTTCTCCCACAGATGTTTGTGCGTCTCTTTGTGGACGAGAACTTGGACCGCATGGTGCCCATCTCCAAGCAGCCCAAGGAGAAGATCCAGGCCATCATCGAGTCCTGCAGTCGGCAGTTCCCTGAGTTCCAGGAGCGGGCCCGCAAGCGCATCCGCACGTACCTCAAGTCCTGCCGGCGCATGAAGAAGAACGGCATGGAGATGGTGAGCCCTGCCTGTCGGCCAGGCCTTCCCCGCACCGCCACGCCTCAGCCGCACCCCAGGCGAGGGCACCCCCCGAGCAGGCATGGTACCCATCACCCTCCTGGTGTCCCAAAGCAGGCACCATGAGCCCTGTTTCACAGAGTAGGGAGCCAGGAAAGATGGCACAGCTCCATAGGTAATGGCGCCGAAGTTCGGGTCCCAGCCCTGCCCCAGCGCCTCTAGGACAGGGTCTCTGTCTAAGCCCAACACTGCTCTGTCCCCCACCCCCCCTCACCCACAGACCAGACCCACACCTCCCCACCTGACCTCGGCCATGGCAGAAAACATCTTGGCAGCTGCCTGTGAGAGCGAGACGAGAAAAGCAGCCAAAAGGATGCGCCTGGAGATCTACCAGCCCTCGCAGGTACCTGCTTGCCGCCAACCCCCGTCACGGGGTTGCTCCCAGGCAGGCGGACATCAGTCACTGCTCAGACCCTGGGGCCCCAAGTAGGGCAGGGGGACCAGGGAGAACAGTCCTTAGCGGGTGGCAGAGCTACTGAGAGGGCAGCAGCGAAGGGGTGGCATGAGAAGGAGCCTGGTCACCCAGACCCTGCAGACCCAGGAAGGGCACCTGGGCTTCATCTTGCGCCCAAGGGCCCCGGGAGCGTCTTCAGTGGAGCAGAAACGATCAAATCTGCCCCACAGAGGGATGAACAGAGCCGGGGGGCGGGGGCGGGGGGCCTGGGCAAGACGACCAGAGCGAGGGAGCAGTCAGTCCTGCAGGACACAGCACTGGGTTCCAGAAACCCCGCCCAGGGCCGGTGGCCAGGGCTCGCTGCCCCTTTGGCTCCCCTGCGCCTCCCTCCCTCTGCAGGACGAGCCCATAGCCCTGGACAAGCAGCACTCCCGGGACTCCGCAGCCATCACCCACTCCACCTACTCACTGCCAGCCTCCTCCTACTCCCAGGACCCCGTGTATGTCAATGGCGGCCTCAACTACAGTTACCGTGGTTACGGGGCCTTGGGCAGCAACCTGCAGCCCCCTGCCTCCCTGCAAACAGGAAATCACAGTAATGGTGAGTGCAGGAGACTGCAACCTTGGAAAGGGGAAGTGACTTCTTTTCGGCACAGGGACCCTCCCCATCTCATAATCTTAGCCCGTCCTTAGATTGGGGGGCGAGGAAAACTGCCTTTGGTTAAAACCAGAAAGCATCCTCCCTCCTCTCTGGTCCCCAAGGCGGCTGCCTTGCCCATTGCCCCGCTGGGCCTCCCTCTGGTCCTGCTCCCCCTCACGTCCACTGTGAGCTGAGCACTGAGTGCCCTCCAGCCAGGGCTCTGCTCTCTCTCTGAGGCAAATCCTGTCCACACCCCCATTTCACCCACAATGACCAAGGCTCAACGCGAAGGTGGTGGAGCCAGGATTTGGCCCAGGCCCAGCCCAGTTCAGTTGCAGCCTCAGCTCAGGACCTCGTTTGTAAGGTGAAGGTTCTTAATGCTCCGGTGTGGAGCCTCAGCCTTTGTCCCACCTAGGTCATGCAGGGCTCTGATTTCCCCAGGTGCTCCCCAGTAACCCTTCCTGAGTGACTCTGATGCCAACTAGACGTAGGCCAGTACTGGAGAAAGTTAGGTGCTGCCCTGAGCCAGACCTGGGGTGGACACCTCAGGCCCATTCAGCCGAGGCCGGCGGGGGGTGGGGTGAGTACAGCAGGGCAGTAGCAGGCCCCCCTGGCAAAAAACAGCCTGGTGGCCTCAGGTAGCTGGCAGGGATGACTGCGGTGATCTCTTGGGCCTGGCACTTGGATTCTGTTGTCTGCGGCAGGAGGTACTAACAGATTTTAGGCAAAGGAGGCTGTGAAACGTGCTCTGCCTGCCCGTGGTGAGATGTGAACAGGGAGGGAGGAAGCAGTGTGGTTTGGTGGCGGTGGGGGGGAGGTGCATCACTCAGGGAGGGAGGGGAAGGGGTGAAGGTGGCACCAAGGTGCTGCTTGAGGAGATTTTTGGAAGCTACCCCGCACAGGCAGGGAACCTTGGTGCTAGGTGTTGGCCGAACATGCCTGAGAATTCCTCTCACACCCTGGCTGCAGGAGACCCCTGGATGCTCCTGGGCAGCGAGGGAGGGAACTGGTCCTTACACACAGCACAAAGCCCAGGCACCCTCCACTCACCTTGACCCCCACCAGGAAGTATATGTAGGCCTCTGGAAGGTTCCTGCCAGGGCTTAACTTCTCATCCCTTCCTAATGCCTCTTAATGTAAGAATAAGAGGCTGCCTGGCCCTAATCCCTGAGACGGGTGCACTGGCTGTCCGGGCGGACTGCTTTCCTTCCAGAAAGAAAAGCCAGCTGATAGCCCGGCTTACTGGGGGCCCTGCTAGTGTGCGTCTGAAGACGGGTCCCAGGGCAGGGAGGCTAGGGCCCCTCATTGTACTGGGCAGTCTGGGGCCCAGGCCTCCCCCAGCAGCAGGACGGTGATGAGCCTCGGCCTGGTGCCACGCGGCAGACCCTGTCCCAGGGCTGCCCCTGCACCTCCCCGAGCCTCGTCTCTGGTGCGAACACCCTGGTTCCTGGAGGGTGGGTGGTGGGATCTCCAAGACAGATGTGCTCAGCTCCTTCCCTCGGGCACTGTGTCCTGGGCACCGGTCAGCCCTCTGACTGTTCAGTCCGCTTGGTCCCGGGGTGGGGCAGCCATACAAGTGGCTCAGGGCACCTCGCCTGGCTCATCAAGCTGCCACCTGGAGATGCACATCAGCCGAGCGAGAACTGGGCTCTGCCTTGCCTGGTGCGCCAGGCTGCCCCTTCAGCAGCCACCTGGCAACCTGAGCGTTCTCCTGTAACCAGAGCCCGAGCAAGGACAGCTCCAGATCAGATTGGCCGCAGGAAACAGGAACAGTCTCCTTTCTGGGCTGTAGCAAAAGCCCAGGGGAGATGAAGGGGGACTCTGGGCACAGGGGTGAAGAGGACAAGACTTGGGACGGAGAGAGGAAAGGGGAAGCCCGGGGCCAGCTCCCACCTGCAACAGGCAGCTCCAGCCCTCCTCTGCTGTCCCCCAGCAGTGTCTGGAGGGGACTGGGAGCTGCCCCAGGGGGGTCCACACCCCCCACCCCCTCTGGGTGCAGCCGGCAGAGGCACCCCTGCGCCCCGCCAGCCTGTCTCATTTAGCCACCAGCATGGGGGTCTGTCACCTGCTTGGCTGTTGTGTGCAGCAAGTCACCCCCTCCTGCCTCCCAGTTTCATTTTAACAGACCTAACTCTTCCCCTGACTCACAAGTCCCAGGATGCTCCTTAGCCAGCTCCTAGGATCCCTTCCCTATCACATTCTCTAGAGAGAAAATAACCCCATGTGACAAACTGTCCCATCTAGCCATCGACTTCCTTCCGCATTCGCGGTCTGCACCAGCTTCCTTTTAGCAGCAGCCTAGTTTCCATCATTTCTCTCAAGATGTTAGTTCTGGTATAGATGTCCCCAGTGACAAGAGCTTGTCCATCTCTCCTACAGCAGCATAAAAGCTGCCGCTGTAAATGCAGCGAGTGAACTTGCTCAGCACTGCGGGGTGGTGGGGAGACGGCTGATAAGGGAGAATGGCCTCACACACCACGGAAGATAACCTCTGCATTCAGGCGGCGGGGAAGGAGGGGCCAGGGACTGACCTAGTTGGGCCAGAGTCGGCCTCCATGAGGAAGCTCCAGCTCCCACAGCCCCGGCTCCTCACTTCTTGGCTGTTTTCTTACTGAACATCTCAAGAAAGTGCTTCACATTCGAGGAGCTTCCATGTCTCCTGAGAGCCCATTCAGAAAGCCCGACACCCTTTCCCTGGGGGCCTTTGCAGGCTGAGAACCCCCGGCCGTGCGTGCTGAGGGTGCCAGGGCATGGCTGGCTTGGCCCACAACAGCCTCCTTGTGTTGCAGGTGGGGGACCTAGGCTCAGGGAAGTTAAATGGCCTCGAGTCCAGGCCTGCCTGGTTCCAAAGCCAGCAGCCCACCCTGCAGAGCTGCTAGGAAAAGGTGGGGCGGAAACAGCCTGGTGAGCCCTGGTGTGTGTCAGAAGATGTCAGGCCCTCTCTCTACCACAGAGGGGGCTTCTCGGGATCCTGTCCTGACCAATCAGACCCTCACACACCCGTCCCACACTCCGTCCTGTCCCGGCAGGAGCCTTCCCCTCGCTGGAACACATAAGACCTCCTTAAAGCGTAGGGGATCCAAGGTGCTGTGGCCCCTCAGAGACAGGCCCAGTGTCCCCAGGCCCTTCCCTTTCTGAGCACACATGCAAGCGTACAGGTCTTCCTCTTCCTGGTCTTCTGCGGCTCCACTCTGGGGACTGCACACTTGTCCCTCCCAGGGGTGTGGCCCCTGCCTACCTGCAGCATCCTGACCACCACCTCCGCTGACATCCCCCTGTTGGGCGAGGACCACGTACATACCTGTACCTCCACCAGACACACCGATGGCCCTTCTTCTTGGTACTGTCAGTTCCCATCAAAGCTCTGCTCACCATGCTGGGAGCCAGGGAATTCCTTTGCTTGGAGGCTTCTCCTCCCTTGGAGACCAGAGCCCAGCTGTGTGTGTGTTGGGGGAACACCGTCTACCTGATGGTCCTCAGAAAGCAGCAGAGGTGTGATCTGTGCCAGGGAGCCCTGTTCCTCGCCTGATGCCAAAGCCCATGCTCTTGTCACATGTCACTCTGCCCTGAATGCAGAACCATGGGCACATGTGATCTTGGTTAAACCTCCTGACTGTCAGGCTTCAGTTTCTCTCACCCATCACATGGTGACAACAGGTTTCCTTCCTTGCAGGACCACCCTGAAGATTTATAGAGAACCCCGTGTCTCACCTGCTGGTGCCAGGCCCCATTCTGGGCCCTGGAGTACAACTACCAGGATAGACAAGGGCCTCAGGCCCAGGGTTCTGACCCACAGCAGGCCCCCAGGGCGACAGAAAGGACAGCACCTCCCAGGTGCCACACAAGGTGTCCTCCTCTCCTCATCCTCTCTCCCCCTCTCCACAGGGCCCACGGACCTCAGCATGAAAGGCGGGGCCTCCACCACCTCCACCACGCCCACGCCCACGCCCTCCAACAACAGCACCAGCAGGACCATGCCCACCGCCCAGCTCAGCCCTACAGAGATCAGCGCCGTGCGGCAGCTCATCGCTGGCTACCGAGAGTCCGCCGCCTTCCTGCTGCGCTCGGCAGACGAACTGGAAAACCTCATTTTGCAGCAGAACTGACCCCAGCGGCACCTGGAGTGCACTGCCCTAGGGGAGGGGGCCGGCCCGGCCCGGCCCGGACCCAGCTTCCTGCCTCGCCAGTTGGTACATTTTGCTTTTTGAAAGAGGTGGGATCCAAAAGAGCTGTTTCTAGCCACACTCCAAGCACCTGAGACTTTGGGCACAAGGACACTTTTTTTGGAATCTCACCACACGGGTGCTCCGAACCTGCTTGGAAGAGGCCGATGGGGCAGCTTTGGAAGGGCTGGGCTCCCCTGACAGGGTGCTGGGGCTGCAGCTCTTATTTAGTATCATCTTCGTGGACCCTGATGTTAGAATCCCACTCCCAGATAATTACCTTTCAAGTCTTAGGTGAGCAGAATTGCATATTTATTGAGAAAAACAAAGTGGACCCTTTCTTCCTCTCCCCTTAGTAATTTATTTTTCTGAAAATGGATTCTTTTGTGTTTGTACAGATTGCCAGTCTGTGTCTGTCTGATCAGAAGGATGTCTCCCTGTGACCTAACATTCCATATCACTACACTGGCGCGGGTGGGGCCGGCAGGGTGGGGCTTCGGGGCCCAGTGCAGGGCGGGCTGTCCCTCGGCGTGCCCAGCACCACAGGGCAGGAGGACCTCCCCCACACCCACTGCAAAGCAAAGACAAACACACGGCTCCCCCCCACCCCCAATTCCACAGATGCCCCAGCCACGGCCACCAGTATTCTACCTCACACTCCAGCCGGGGGCTTTTTCCAGGACACGTCCGGAGCCCGTTCTGAATGGCTGCCTCCCAGCTCCCCCACACACTGCGTCTGCCTGGGAGGTAAGTCCAGCTGGGCGGCAGGAGCAACTGGAGCCCACAGAGGGAGCCAGCCCGGGCCCTCCCAGGCAGCCGGTCCGCAGGGTCCTTGCCCTCACCCTGCCCCTGGAGTCAGGTGGACCGCTTCTCCGCGCAGACCCAGGGCTCTCAGACACCTGCTAGCAAGGGCCGGTTTCTTCAGGGTGAGCCCCTGGCTGTCAGGCAGCCACTGAATAGGAAAGGCAGCTGTGAGCACCTGGGTGGACTTGGGCTCCTGTCCCCTGCCCACCTCCTCCCCACCCCCCGCCCCGTGGCTGAAATAAAGGGACCGTCAACAACTGGAGAAGCCACTCAGGTTCTCCTAAGAGCAGCCCTTTTGGAGGGACCAGTCCTGGAAGAAACCATAATCCCTGGAGTGTGAAAAGGGGCAAAAAGTTAAGGCTGGCCTGGTTCCCTTCCTCCCAATAGGCACTTCCTCTTGCTCAGTGCAATACCTACCAGTGCTGCTAAAACCAGGGATTTGCCCAGACCTCAGAAGGCCCACGGGGCCTCTCCATGCAACACTCCGTAGCCATGACAGCAGCCCACTGCTGCCCGCCCCTGCCCAGAGCCGGCAGAAGCCCTCTGTTGCCTTTCCTCCCTCAGAGCAAAGAGGCCCTAGGGGAGTCAGGGCCGAAAACACCCCAGGACAGCTACTGAGAGCCACCTGACCCCAGAGCAGGCACCCCTTCTCAAACCAGCTTCTCCGCAGCCAACTGCCTCCTGGCGCTGTGGCGGACCACCCTGCGGGGGCCGGGGCCCGGGCTCCAGCGTGGGTGTCCCACCCCTCCCTCGGGCCCAGAAACTCTGAAAGCTAGGGTGTCCCACTCCGTGCTCACCTCCAGCCCCTAGAGGTTGGGGGTTTGTTTTTTTTTATTTTTAATCTCTCAAGTGGCCTCCACACCCCATCCCACCACACCACCTCTGCCTTCCACCCACCCCGCCCGCAGGCCTCTGGTCAGGGCCAGGACACCCAAAACTCCCCCTTAGCACAGCACAAACTCCAGTGCCCAAGGCCTCGCCCCCACCCCCGCCACCCACAGTCAGTCCTCCCCCTGTTCAGTACACTCCCTGAATTTGAATTTGTGTAAATATTTATTTTTGTGTGTGAACAATATTACAAAGTAATCAGCAGATCTTTTGCAAAATGTTACCCCAGGCAATTTGAGAAATCTCGATGTTAAAAACTGGCAGAGACAATCGCCGCCTTAGAATCCTTGGTATCAACTGCTTAACACGTCATCTCTCCCCCCCAGAGGCAGGACCCAAGCCGGGCTTCAACGGTTTGCTTTTGACGGGAGTGAGGACTGGGGAAGGGGCTCCTGCCACCACCACACGAGGGATTAGCTCTCAAGGTCACAAGCTAGTTTCTAGTCGCGTTTTTCTGAGTTCAGGCCGCCCTAACTGACCACCTTCAGCCGACCTGATACTGCGGTAAGAGCAGAGGTTCTGTTCTAAAGACGAAGGACAGGACCGCCAGTGGCACGCACCCGCGGGGGCTCCCGGCAGCCCTTCTAGGGCAGATTCTGAGGCCAGGTCCTTCCCACTGACGCTACGCTGGAGGGCGGCATCAGGAGCAAGTTACTGCGTGGAAACAGGATTCCATTAGCTAGCTCAGTCAGGGAACTAGTTCTATTTGGTTTTTGTTTTAAAAGATGCAGCTCCAACCCCGTCCCTCTCCTCCTGACTTGGAGAAGCACCCAAGGGCTGGTTCTGCGGACCCTCACCCCCACTGTCCCCTAGAGACGGCCTTCTCCCAAAGCCCTGCCCCACAACCATTTAAAATCCTTAAAGGAGGGAGCGCCTCAGGGCACAAATTAGTCATTTGGGATCCAAAGTTGAAAAGGTGAGAGTAGCACACACCAACTCCAGTCTCTGCAGGGGCCAGTCCTGAGAGAGAGGCGAATCCAGAGGGGGGGACTGGTCTTAGTGGCAGGTCACCTAGCAGACCAGCGACAGTGTGACGCACCTGAAATCCACTTGTACAAATTCACCCTCTCCACTTGTACAACGGCGCACATCCAAGACAGCAGGGACGCGGGGGCAGGCAGGGGCTTGGAGAGTTGTGGAGGATTTCAGACAGGTGGATCCCAGCCATCCCTAATATTTCCAAGGGCCACTTAGACTCCAGGGTGGTTACAGGATTAACTACCAGTTCATTTTCAAAATGCTGCTTTGAACTCAGAGGGTTGATACATTTAATTTGTAATTTTTTGTAAAACTTTTTACAAGATAGTAAAGTATTTCACCAGAATACCAGTTTCAAGCCGTCCATGGTCTGATTTTTATATAATTTAGTGGTGCTTTAGAAACTTTGTTTTTGTTGTTTCTGGGCTAAAGAGCTCGATCTTTTTTCGCCTGTATCTACCTAAGACCAATGTGAACCTTTGTATTTTTGCTCCTAATTTTGGACTCAGTGAAAGTGTACTGTTTACATGTACAGACGCCCCAGTCCCTGTGTGTTCTGCAAGACCCGCTCTTGAGGAGGAAGGTGCACCTCACTAAGCTCATCTGCTTAGCAAAGCCACAAAACAAAACCTCTCACTTTTTACCTATGTTTCCACCTAAAAACAAAAACAAAAAAAACCCCTACACCACGTGGAAGTCAGATTTACTGAAAAACACTTTTCTAAGCTCAGAAAAATCTCCATGCAGCAGGTGGCCCATGTGCGTCTACCATGCAGTCCATGTAGAAGCAGGGGTCAGAGCAGAGACCGCCCATGGCCAGTGGTGGGTGACTGCGCGGGCAGACAGCAAGTGAAAGCGGGGCTTCCCGCAGAGCTGTAGGGTGGACACAGTTCTCCCAGCAGCCTGGGATGGGAAGGTCAAAATGACTCATGTGACCTTCAGGGTCAAGCCACCCAGGATTTAGGGACAACCCAAAGTCGTCAGTCCTCTGGCATAATTCTGATAGTTTTTGGAAGAGCGCGCGTTCACTATGTGAGGCGGGATTTTAAGACTCCAGTGCAGGTGGCACCAGCCCTTCATCTGGGTTCGAGACATCACCTCTGGGGAGGAGCAGGGGGTTTCCCAGACGATAAGCATATGGCACTTACGGCAAACAGTTGATGGCACCAACTTTTAAAGGTGACTCTTTAGTACTTAATCAATGGTTTCACCTCTAAATTATATTTTTACAGATATGCACCTATGCAACTTAATGTGGCTCTTCTAAGCAGGTGAGGACTTCCTCTTCAATGCTCTATAAAAAATTCTTTGTGTTCTATATAGTGAGTTTTTCCAGTAAATGTGGCTTAATATTTTAATTCTTAGACTGTGTCTTCTTCTCTATGTGATGCAACTAAATTCTGTTTTGTTTGTGGAATGACTAGCACAGGCCAACTCCCTCTCCCTCACTTAACAAAAGACCAATGAGCTGTTCATTGAGCTGTTGTCTCCATGGTATTACTTGCTAAATGCACTGATTTCATAAGTATGTGGAATCCTTTTTCTTTTGAATCTGTATATCATATATAAGACTGAATCTACTTAATAAACACTGAATAACAAACCGAATGCTTTGTTTCCACTGTGTCCTCTGAACAGCAGCATGGCTAGCCAGGCCTCTTCCTCCCAAATCCAGCCTGGCACTGAGTCACATTCTACTACTAGATTCCGCCTTTCTTCCGCGCCATAATGCTAGCACACCGGAGGTGCTCGGTAACTTTCCTTGAGCAAATGTATCTGTCATTTCCTTCACTGGTGCTCACCAAGCACCAGCAGGTCTCTGCGGGCACCATGTTGAAACCTGCAGTCCCCTCCCCAGAAAGGTGCCCTCACCTCCACTTACAGATGAGCTGGCAGCGCCTCCTCTCAATTCAGCCAGTGACCCAGCCAGGTCTTAAACGCAGCTCTTTCCCTGTACACTGCACCCTTCCCACTCCCCTCACCCCAGTGCGTAGCTCTTCCTCGGACAGAAGCCAAACTCACCTAACCAGTCCCCAGATGCTGGCTAGGAAAACTGCAGAAACACCGTTGCTGGTCCCAGACCTACACTACTTGACACCCCACTCGACCCACATCCCTGGATCCCACCATGAAGGAGACACAAGGGCTGCTTTTCTCAAAGACATTTGCTTGTGCGCAACCTTTCTTTTCATCCTCTGTATCATTTAGGTTAAACTTAAAAAAAAAACTTCCAGGAATATGGGTAGGAACAAAATTGTCACGAGTTTAAAAACAATTTTGACCATGTGAGTTAAGTGCAAAAACACAAGTTTTACTGCTACACACACACTATATAGAAGCTGTTTTCAAAACACTGTTTTTGTAATGGCAGAAGAATCTCTTTAAAATAGAAATTCTGTTCAGCTGCCAAATATATAAAATAAAAAGAGGCTAGTAGTTTGAAGCCATTTTCCCCAGAGAGCGCACTCTGGGGCTAAGATTCATAAGGACTGTAGCAAGTAGACACCTGGGCACCCTATCTTTTCACATGCATGTGGCCAGCACATGCAGCAAATCTTCAATAGTACCATGAAAACACGTCTGTCCTACTGAACCTACTGCTGCTGAGAAACACCAAGGGACCATAAACCCCCATAACCTGGGACAGCACATCCAGAATCCAGAGCAGCCACAGGCAGACCGTGCTGGTCGGCTGGGTCAGCACTTACCTCGGATGAAGCGCCGTAGCTCCGAGAAGTTGCTGGAGGACAGAGATGCACTGCTCAATCCCGGTCTGGCTTCTTTTCACAGAGCTCCTGACCACTGCTGTTAACAGTGTACAGAACATCAAATGGGAGTGCCCCTTAGAGCAGGGAAAGAAAATTTGCAGTGACCAAACAGGCGACCTTCATTCACTTCACTCAGTGATGGACAGGGAAGACCATGTACGTCACTGCATTTTAAAAATAATTTAAAATGCACTACAGAAGCTTAGTAGTTAAAAAAAAACCCTAAGAATCTTTTGCAAAGTCACATCTCCCTTTCTCGGTCTTTCGTATAAACCCCGATCAGGTTCACCATCAGTCAGGGGCTCTTAAATGAGGGGCCCAGCTGTCTAAGGAGCTCTTGCACCGTCTGAAATAGCACGTACAACTCACGTGCACACATATTCCTCTGGGGAGAGGGCCTGGACCTTCCATCAGGCTCTTGAAGGAGCCTGTTCCCTGAAAGGCCAAGAGCCACTGCAACGACAGCTTCTACTTTTTTTTCTTTTTTTTTAAATAGAGCTTCTGTCTACATCTTTTGGTAGTTAGAAATGTTCATTCCACGCTTTCAAATTGATGCAGAGGTAAGAGGAAACAAAAGGCCCTGTCAAGGTTTGGTTTCACCTTTTAATCCCTAAGGCCACAAAGCCTACCCTGTCACTTTACATGGCACACAGGGGTAACACAGCCTGTGCCACCTCCTCTCAGGGCACACAGCAGGCAGGTGCTTGGCCCACTGAAGCCCCAGATGTAGGAGGGCTCCTCTATCAAGAACCCACACCCCTTTCACGCAGGGTCTGACTTCCCCAAGAGCAGGCTGGACATAAAGCAAATGAACACAACAGACCAGTAAGACATTCTTTTTCAGACTCTGAAACGTTAGGTTTTCTTGTCCTTTGGACCATGAATAAAATGTCTCCCCTACCAGTCTCTAAACTCTGTACTGTGAGTTCAACGACTGTAGCATGAGGCCACAAGCCAGATGTCACCTTAGAGGTCTGCACCACCACAGCTCCCTTCTCAGGTGAGGGTCAAGCAGGTGAGGCAACAGGTGCCGTACAGATTTCTACTGTAAATTTACGCAGTCGTTGTCTGGCTTGGTGCAAGCTAACAGTCTGGAGTACTTCCCACGTGTGAGGCCCTAACAACTTTATGAAGTAGAACTACTGCCTCCACTCAGCGATGGGAAAGCTGGCAGAGGCCGAGTATGCCAGCCACAGCACTGGTAGCCAGCAGGGCCTGTCCTCGGACTCACCGCACTGTTCTGCCTCCCCGACGAGATCAACTCAGAATGCTAATGGATTCTAAACTCCCACAGACTGTGCGGACAGATTCTGTGAGGGGAAAGCACACATACACATCTTCACCACCAGGCGGCTGCCCAGTCACCACAGAGCCCCATCAGAACTTGTCCAACTGCACCTGTAACGGCAGAACCACAACTGCAGCTTGAACTGCCCCCAAAAATGTTCCACTACACAAAGCCTATTTTCTCCAGTTCGCAGCAAATTAACAGACCATTCTCTTAGTTCTGTACTTCCCATCATTTTACTTTTGGCACATTTATATACTAAGATCCTGCCAAGCACAAAACCATGTATTTAAGTGCTCCAGACAAGTCTGAGGGCTGAGAAGTAAACCCCTGCAGACTGGCATGCACTCAGCCTCGCTTCAGCAGCATCAGACCCCACCTTATGCCAACACCGCCCTCGCTGCTGCCTGCTGCTGCGCGCTGCACAAAGGCGCCGTGTTTATGGCTTTTCAAGGTTGGAACCGCTGGCCCTCCCCACAGACTAGCAGCCATTGGGAAGCTCTCGGGCAATCTCAAGTCCCAGGGAGGCAGTTAGGATGAGCATCCTCATCCCTTTCATTAATTTCTGCCTTCCAGTGCACACAGTGGGGAAGTTTGCCACATCACACAGTCTGAGGACCCGTGAAACTGACAAGTTGTGCCTTTAGGTCTCACCGCACAGAAGAGCTCCTTACAACATCATTGGCCCCAGAGCCAAGGTGAGCGAGCTGGCACTTGCCCCTTCAATGCTGCTTCTGCACTCCAGCCTGATCTTCCTTCCCACCCCCGTGGGGCAGCCACAGAAGATGACTGAGACCACAGTGCAGGTTGTACAGGTTTATTTTTCCAATGCCACAAGAGACATACAAGAGCAGTGCTTTCCCTGGGAAGCCCCACAGACCGGACCAGTTTCAAACTGTACCCTAGAGTGGCCCCAAAGGTCACAACAGAAGGAAGAAGAGGATCAAACACACTTGGGCCTCTGCTCCCTGTCTTTGGTAAACAGACTCTTGAAGTTGACAACTTGGATTTGGCCAATACTGCATTTCAATCACCACCACGTCATTGCCAACTTCTCACTCAGGCTTCAGATGACAAGAATGCCACATCGGATGAGATGGGAGAAAAAAAATAAAAAAGACCTTGCGGACGAAATGAGATCTGCTGAGGTCACACCGACTTTATACTTCACACAGAAGCACTCACACAGGGAGACTGAAGTTAAACAAGGACTCTCAACTCTGCAACAAGTCGAGGTACAAGAAATAAGGCAGGAAGCGGGGTGAGGAAAGATACCTATGGAGACATCTATTTGTTAGAATTGTGTTAGGAGAGAGGCAGGCAGCAGGCCTGGCTGTTGCCTTCCCAACCTGCTGTCAAAAGTATGTCAAAAGGAGCCCTGTGGCCCCAGGAGCGCGCGGTCCCAGGTATTGCTGACAGGTAGTGGCCCTGGCGCTAGGTCTAGAAGGCCCATCTGGGGGCTGCCCAGGGTGCTCACCCTTGAATTCAGAAGCACTTAACACTGGTGGTGGTGATTTGTCACATATGGCAGTGAGCAGCCAGTGAAGGTTGGAGAAGAGATGCGAGGAGCAAGACACGTTTGCTCAGCAGCAGGCAGGCAGGCTGCCGGTGGCTCTGCAGGCTACAGCAGGTCTGCCAGGTAGCCCATGACAAGGCACCAGACCAACCTGGCAGATCCCAAGTCAATCACTCCACCCTCGGGTCGGGCAGCACAGCATGCAGTGGCTCTGACACAGGTGGAGAGAAGTCTATTACACCATTTTAATGCAGTGATGCCCAAGACGTAAAGGGAGAGACGTTCATGTTCTCTGTACAATACATCCATTTACAGAATTGGCCAGTACTGTGTACAACATATAAATACATGATAAAACATCAGAGGTGCATAGAGCATACTTACAGAAGCCCAAAAATTCACTTTATACATCCAAGGATAAAGAGTTAAAAATATAAAAATAAGAAACACACACTGCTTTGAAATGTAAAATGACTTTCACATACACAGGTGCATGGAGATGCCCGCTCCCATAAGTCCAAAGTGACGAGGAGGGTGTCAGGCAGAGACACTGACCTGCCAAACATCTGGACATCTGACTTACAAGGTCTACAGATGGCATTTTAAGACAGACAACCTTATGCCCGACCCCATTGTTCAAGCAGGTCTATTCAAGGTTCCAAAAGCTCTTGTGGGCCAGTGGATTGTAATGAGACAGCAAAGTCCCAAATCTGCTTCAGCAACAGAACCAAAGGTCAAAAGGGCTCCATCAACCGGCATCAGAATGAACTGTGACCCTGAGGTCAGCAGGTGCTTGAGCCCCCTGGTGGGCACTGCAAGGAGTTACCTTAACCCTGTGCTGGTTCTTCCCCAACCATCAGCTCCCTCAGTAGCATAAGGAAAGATGGCAGGGAGGGAGCAGTGGAAGACTGGCATTTCTACTTGTTCGGGTAGGTTAGTTCCCTCCATAGAGAACACAACCTTCCTTCTTCAGTTTCAAGTCCCTCTGGGTGTCAGGCAGGCTCCCCATGCCACACCAGGCTCTGTCTACATGAAGGCTCAGCTGGCCGGCTGGGCTTGAGCAGCCCAATGAGTTGCCCTGTGGGAAACCCTTCCAGCAAGACAGGAAGGTTGTGACAAAGAGGGCCTTTAGCACTATAAATTTTAGGGAGAGGCAAGAGTGCTCTTGCCTAAAGAGACAGAGTCTATATATCAATGATATTCTGTATACAGATTAAAGATCAATCATTATCAAAATACACACACTAAATATACAACTTTTCCAATGGCCATAATTTATTATCTCACCACAAGGCACAATACACAGAGCTTTGAGGGTCCAATACAGTCATCATGACAGAATGCACCACAGCCCTGGCACATGATCATGGCTTTCAGGCTGCACGCACACTGGAGTGAGATGCTCTCCACTGTGCTGCTGTCGGTGAACATCTGCAAGGAAAGTGATGCACTGTGGCTCGCACCAAAGTTAGTTTTGTGGCTCAGCTGCACCACACTTCCAGCAAGGCCTTTGGGAAAGGTTGGGGAGCTGGAGGAATAATTAAAGCTGGTGGAACTTAGCTGGAGTTTGGAAAGCTTCCCATAAAATGCCTGTTTGATGTTGAGTTGGGAGGGGATAGAAGAAGGCTCCAGAGGCTGACTGAGTCCTTTCCCAGGCTCTAGGGGCAATTTCCAGAAGGGCAGGTCAAGGACAAAGGGCATCGCTTGCAAGTGATCCACCAGATCCCGAGGACCAGGCCCTGCTGTGTTTCTGTTCTCTGCATTCGCCTTGAGAGGAGGTACCCCAACAAAACTCTTCTCACTCTTGATGCTGCCAACGGAGACAGGCGGTGGCTTTGGAGCCCAGTCTTCCTTGACAGTCTGTACCCCACCAGACACAGAGTTTTTACTTGTCCCCAACTTCCTACTGGGAAAACCTGGAGGGGCATCAGCAGGCAGTGGCATTGGCTCCACAGGCCGGGGGCACTGAAGAGCTGCCACCAGATTCCTAGAGCCAAAGAGCTTCTTCCCTTGGCCTCCAGCACTGTTCTGATCACCCAGGGCCTGACCTGTCTGATCAGGATCCACGGAGACCACATTTGGAGATGAGAAACAAGGGGCTCTCGAGGTAGTGAGATTTCCTGGGCTTTTGCCTGGGGCAGTGTTTGAATTACTGCACTGGGACAGATCACGGCCTTCCTTCTGTTCTTCAAAACTAAAGGGAGAGAACTGTTCTTTGGAATCCACTTCTACTTTCCCAAAGGCAGCCGTCAGATTTGTCACTGGATACAGGGAATCTAAACTTGGGACGGTCTTGGAAATCTCTTGGGGCGCACCTGGAGTCTGGGCAGCCTCCAGCCTGGCAGGACCAGTGCTTGCTTCACAGCTGTCAGGGCTGCTCCCGCCAACCACGCAACTGTTACCCCCAGAATCTCGCGAAGATCCCATCCCCTGCTCTTTCGCAAGTGGGAGGCATGCGTATTCAGGTTTGCTGCCAGAGAGGGCTGGAGGAAGAACCTTCTCTAGAGGCAAGTTGCCCTGCAGTAACTGCATCACAAGTGGGTTAGTGGCCTCCACTGAGGACCCAGGCCTGCCCAGGGATGTGGGCCTCGGCTGGTACTCAGTACTAGCCAGCAGCAGGGAATCTGGGATCTTCTGGGGGACCGCACATACGCGAGAGACCCAGCTCTGAGAGGCAATTACCCTGTCTGTCCTTGTAACCAGATTCTGGTCACTATTCACCTTGGAGCATGCAGCAGAGTGGTTCCAATCGTGTTTCTCCTCCTTGTCCACCACTGAGGATCTCTTCATCACTGTGGCATCACTAGGGTCAGCCTCACTGCTCTCCTCAGAAAGGTGGCCTTCAAAGTCAGAGGCTGTGTCTGTGGACTCGCTGTGAGGACTCAGTGCTTCAGAGTCTCCATTGATTTTCAGCTTGTCAACTTCTGCCTGTTTGCCGTCGTTGCCTGTGCTGTCAATGCAGCCCCGAGATGTCACTGCCCAGAGTGAAGGACAGTTGGGGAGATCTAGACCCTCTTCAGCTGTCAACCCCTCAGGCAATGCCGGAATGAGGGGAACAGCCCTCTCCCACTCTTCTCCGACCTGGGGCTCAACAGATGGAACATCCTCTCTGGAGCCTGGTTCGGGCTGTCCCACTGCCTCATTCTTTGACAGGCCAGGCATCCCAGGAGCAGCACCGTTGGGGATGAGAGCCTCAGTTTTCAAGTCTTCTTTTCTAGTAGCCCTTTCCCTCATGGGTAGGCATGAGTCGCCAAGTCCTAATTCGTCATCAAATTGTCTGTCCTGTAGGCAGCCAGCCAATGATGATTCAGGGGTGGAACTGGGGATCACATTCACAGGATCCTTCATGGTTGGATTACTGTCACTGTCCAGAGTCTGGCCAGTCCTGTCTTCTAATACAACATCCCCCACCAGAGACGGAACGGGACCACTGATGATGGAGAGAAGAGCTCCTTGCTCCTCATCACCCCTTTTCCAGGAAGTGGAACCAGACTCACATTCAGTTCTAACATCTAGATGCAACGGAGGCTGCTCAACTAATCTCTCAGGTGCTGGGGTTTTGGAGGACAGCAGGGGCAAAGCCTGGCATGGCTGATCCCCAGTGGGAGCAACAGGGAGTTGGGAGGCATCTTCTGGCCCACTTGCGCCTGGTGCCCTCTGTGGTGGGCAGCTCTCCTCCTCTCTGAGAGAGGCCAGGTGCTCCCTCCTGGCTCTGGATGCGGCGGTTCCAGCCTGGGTGTGTTCCCCATTTAGAGGACGAGGCGGCAGTAGTTGTGTTCGCTGTAGATCTGACGCACACTCTCCAGGGGTTCTTGGGGCTCCCCTGGGCTCAGGGTGGCCACAGGCCTCACCACCATCACCACTGCTGCTGCCTCTGCCACCTCCCTCATCGGTGGCCCTGCCGCCACCTCCACCCGGGCCACCCCCCCCTCCGATGGCAGTGGTGGCCGCCTCTCGATGGCAGTGGTGACCTCTCGCCCCTCGGACCTGCAGAGCACGGGCTTTAATGTCTGCGAGGGTCCTGGCACCAGTCCAGCCCCGGCAGGAGGACTCCGTGATGGGGACAATGCGGGGGCATATCTGGTAAGTGGGCTGACCTTTAACCACCCAGGGTGGTTTGATACGTGAAAGTTGTATCTGCAAAAGAAGAATTAGAAAACAGTTTTAATTGACTTGATGTTTAGACCGAGGCACTGTAAAACTAAATTGGGATTCTAATAGCTTTGGGCCTATGGCCTAGACAATCAAATCATTTTCCTTAAAAATTAAATCGTCGTGGTAAAATTAAAATGGCTGTGCACACCACCACACCATTCCAAGAAGGTTCTGCTCAAGGGCGGTTATATGCCACACTTCTAAATTTAATTTCTGGTGGGAACATGCAAGTCACTATACAAAGAATCTAACACTACCTAGTAAAAAACTTCAAAACCCCACAGGATTCTGACCTCTAGAGATAACTTCAACAGAATGCACAAACAAATGAAGCAGAAAGGAACCTCATTCCCCTGACTGTCAGATTGGTCTCAGGAATGGCTCTCTTATAGAGGTCTCTACACACCCACACAATCAACACAAGGGCCCTGTGAAGGGGCTCCACAAATCTCCTGGCCCTCAAGGGGAAAGAGCCTCCTACCCGGATGGGCGGGACTTTGGGCTCCTCTTTGGTGGGCTGTGGCTTTTCGGAGTGAACACTTTCAATTGTGTTACGAAAGGACTGACGATCTTCAAGCCGGGGCTTCTTTTCGGGAAAGGATGCAGAGGCTGCCTCCTCAAAGGATTTCCTCTTCTGATCCTTAGGTTCCTGATCAACAGTCTCCTGGTGCAAGCTGGGAATTCTGTCTGGAGAGGCAGAGGCCCGTGCCAGGTCGTCTGGATCGGCCTGGATCCGAGAAGCCCCAGTTTCCACTGTGAATCTGGGACCCTCAGGGTCAGGTGCTGTAGAGGATGTGCTGGGCAGGTGGGGACTGCCTACACCTGCTGAGTCAGTCTTAGCCTCCCCTTCCTTGTAGAGGGGGATGTCTGGTGCCATAGACTGTGCATCTTTAACAATCCCTCCTTGGTCTAGCTCCTGTTTTTTGTACAGATTCCTTCTGGCTCTGGTTCGGAGATCTGGCCGAGAGCGTTTCTTGAAATGCCCATCTCGCTGCCGGGTGGCTAGACCACGCTGTGGCCGTGCTGATTCTCCCGGGACACGCAAGTCACTCTTGATTCCAGCCTCCTCTTGACCCACGTTCTGCTGCAACAGCTCTTCTCTGGTCAAACCCAATCTGCAAACCAAACGCACATCATCAGTTACAGGGCAGAGAAGCCATGTCTATTTTCTTTCTATGAATGACACAGAGCCAGATATTAGGTATCTCGGAACAAAATAAATCTGCATGGTGCATAACACTAACCACAGGAAAACCCCTGGTAGCTTCCTTATGAATGGCATTAAGTTAAGTGAACCAAGTCACTGCAATCTCCACATCCCCACACAACACAGAAGTACGCATGACTTTGTGTCTTTATCCCCTAAAAGCCTGGACCAACACTCACAGCAACCAAGTGCCTTACTTCTGTCCATAGTAGTCCTCAAAGAACTTTTCTTTCCATTGTTCCACCTTCTTTTCCTTCTCCATTTCCTGTCGTATCCTGACTTGCATCTCATGAGTGAATTCACCTAGAGAGAAATAACACTTTCTCAGCACATGCATTCTGGATATTCAGGAGACTTACAGAAAGCAGCTCTGCCTCCTTAGTTTTCAAAATACACGTGACTTTGGTGAGTTTAGGAAATCTTTTTTTCACCCTCGCTATCTTCATGCTGGTTCTCGTCTCCTCCAAAGAATCTCTAACATCATGCTCTTAACTCAAGACTGAACTAACACGTCTGTTATAAGGGAAATCCATTCTTCCCTAGGGTGATTAGTCAGAAAACAGCAAGCAACACACTGTTCAAAAAAGCAAAACAAAACCCAACTAAACAAAAGAACCATTCTTACTTCCTGTGCAGAAAAAAAGTTAACCTAGCACGCCTGACTGCATACCCTTAGAAAGGCCTGCTTACAAGTCTGGCCCTTGGCTGACATCTAGGAACCTGGGTTTTGGGAAGATCCCCACCCTCTGATATAAATGGCTCACTGTGCCTAAACCATTTCTGCAAACAAGAACAGTTTATGACGAGCACCTGCTTTCCTTTGGGGAATCTGGAATTTGGGCATGTGCCAGGCACAGGCGTGCTACATGATTAGCTCCCAATAAAACCCTGGGCACCGAGTCTTTAGTGAGCTTCCCTGGCAGACTACATTTCACACGTGTTGTCACAACTCGTTGGTGGGGGAACTGAGTGCATCCTGTGAGACTCCTCTGGGAGAGGACCTTGGAAGCTCACTCCTAGTTTCCCTGAATTTCACCCCAAGCGTCTTTTCCTTTTGCTGATTTTGTTCTGCATTCTTCTGCTGTAATAAACTAGAGCCATGAAGAAGACTATGCTGAGTGCTGTGGGTCTTCCTAATGAATCAGTGAAACTTGTGGCGGGGGGCGCATCTCAGGGACCTCCCAACACACTCCCCTTGTTGCTGCCCCACAAAATTAAATTAGGAGAAGCTAACAATCACTCCAAGTGACAATGTCTTAAAATGGAGCATCTAATGAAGATTAACATGTAGGTCAATGTTAGAAATGTTAGTGCGCCCTGGCGCACTTTCTTCCACCCATCCAGACATCATGTTTACTGGAAAAAACAGGAGTGGACAGTTTTAATGATGAAGAGGCAATGAAGATGGATACATACACACGCAAGATAGTGGAAGCCCCAATACTCTGAACCTTCCTTAAAGCTATGGCGCATATCAACCCCTGCCACTTTCATTAGTATTGTGAGGAAAGCCTGCCTTATACCAAATATCCCTTTGAAAAAAAGGAGAGATTGGTGAAAATGAGTGTTTTGAGTTTCAAATACCAGGAGATGAGTGACACGACCCATGGCAAGCAGCTCTCAAGCCATCAGAGATGAGAACCTCTACTCACCATCAGCCAGGCGTTCCCGCCAGCTCTGGGCCGCATGGGTGAAAAACTCATTATTCAGTGCACTGCTGCTGAGACGCAGCAGGCCATCTGTTCCCACCTAGAAGGATCGGGCAAATAATCCAATAAAAAACTTACAAAGACAACAGAAGCCCGGAGAGAAGCAAAGAGGAGGCTGCCTATCCGTACCTGTCTGTCCACTTCAGGCAAAAGGAAGAGGAGCTGCTGCTGGAAGTGGGATGGCAGGGCGTGAAAGGTCCGAGAGTTTATCAGGGCCCGGAGGTTGGTGTTGACAAGAATGGACCCAGGTGTCTCAAAATCTATCTCTTCCCCTCTGTTGCGCTTCATCTGACCTGTGATTTTTTTGAAGCAGTAAAAAGCAAGGTATAGATTTTCAGCTTCTTAAAGCAAAAAAGCAAATGCTGAGGGGAAATAACTTTGGTGGCAGCACCCAAGCTACTCAGAATTTACTGGCACACAATCTGCTCAACTGTCCAGTCCATCCTAACCTGTATGTTACAATTATTCTTTCCAGATCACTGTCATTGCCAAACCTAAGAGAGCACTTGGGCTTGCAGCCTCTCAGACAAGACTGTACCATGCTGAGTCACAGCCTGAAGAGGACACTCTTCCCACAGAAAACCAGGCAGGGGGCAGGCTCTGACCTTCCCTCCAAAGCTGGAGAACAGGCTCCACAAGTCAACTGGTGAAATGATGGAAGCTGTTTAAAGTGAAGCGCGTGAGCATACTACAGGAAAAATCTGCAGAGGTCTCCTTGTGAACGCACGGAAGATCTCCATGCAGGAAGGTACTATGTGTTGTTTAAAGCCTACTGAATGCCAATAGCTCTCACAGAAGCCTCAGCAAATGTTACTTTAACTTTTAAAAATCACTTAGAATACAGAGCTGTGAGACCTTAGATTCAGCAATGCTCATCAGCTGGAAAAGCAGACTTATTTTGCATTTGGTCAATGGTTTATTCTAACTTTGACAAGCCAAAGCTAGTCCTCTTAATTGTTTCTTGTGACCCATTTACAAAAAGCCTGCATGTGGGCTTTGAGATATAAATCCTGAAACAGCAAACAGCATACTGGCCTTGGAAGAAGCCCTATGGTATGTGGGAGGTGCATACTACTGAATTTGTTTGCATCTCCCAGATTACACTTATGCTTCCATTCAACACACTGATTGGGTCATAGAAAAGGGCATCTGACAGAGACTGAAATGTTGAGAACAAATGTGGCAGGACGTTATCAAAGAAAGAAAATGGATGTTGGAATTCTTCACAGAGAAGCTCAGAAGCAGTTTCCACTCACTGAAACACTAAGCAGTATCACCAAGGTGGGCACAGCCTAGGCCCTTACAGGGACATACAAGGAGCAACGTGGCACCATCTCTGCCCACAGGGAGTTCTCTCGCAGCCTAGCAGAGAAGATCTATATACAGAGTAAGCAAAATGCAAGGTGAAAACAAACAAAAAATGGAGGGCCACCCAAGTTAAACTGGTTAAAAGGAGCAGAGTAGATTTCAATGTCACTTGCCCTGCAAGGGGCCCCCTTTATAGGCAAAGAAATGAGTGCCAAGCCACTCACCTGTGGCTGGCTTCCGGAAGCCTCTCAGGAGCGGGGCAGGGTCCCGGGCGACCTCAGCCTGGCCACGAATAGCAGTGCTGCCCAGGGCCAGGGAGCCGCTGCTGCTGCTGGATGGGCTGCCGCTCTCGCCATCGGCGTGGCGGCCCGAGAACCCTGAAGACACAGCATTCCACTGGTCAAAAGTATCACCCGCCAGGCCATGTCTCTCAGACAAGCTTACTTCTCCCAGCTCTCCCTGAAATGCTGCCAGCAATACCGGGTGCTTCCACGGCCCAGCCTTGGGCTGTCAGAGCTCAACACCTCATGGGCTGGCTTTAAAATATCACATGAGAATGCCAAACTGCCATCTCAGTTTGTACCGCACTGCACCTTTTACACAGCACCTGCATGTTCCTTCACTGGACCCTCACAACCACCCTGTGAGGCAAATGCGAGGGCACAGTGGAGCCCAGCACTGGTGCCTAGGTCAGGTCTCACCACCACAGCGTGCTGCCTGCCAGAGGAGGTCTCCTGACTTTACTGGCATCGCACTGCCTGGAGGTCAGAAACTGCTGCCAGAGGGAGGCAGGTGCCCAGGACCTGAGGAAGGAGCACCACAATCAAGAGTTCACACGTACCTGATGCAGATTCCACGTGGGCCCCGTTTACCTTCAGAGGAGTCAGGACAACCCGAGGAAGCATCACCCCAGTCTTTTTCTTTTGCTTGTTTGCCTATATTCCCAGAGGGAATACAGAAAGAGCCCGAGTCACCTGCAGGGCCACGCAGGCAGTTCCCTCTCGACTATGTCTCCACTCGCTGTCTTGTAAGACAGATTCTGTACTCAGCCGGCTTGGGCAGGCAATGGCGAAAGCAGCACTGACTGTTACTGGGCCAGGTGCCAGCCCTTGTGCCAAGCCTCACCCAAGCTGAAAAGAACCTATCATTATCCCCATTTTACAGGTAAGGAATTTGCCCAAAGTCCCAAAGTGAGTGAATGAAAGGGCCATCATCCAAAGCATTGGCTCCCAGGCTCGCGTCTCCCCTCTGCACCGTGCTCTCCTCCTCCCTGGATTACCCAGCCATGGTAAAGAAAAGAAACAAATCACTCTGCTCTCAGATCTATGACCCACTTTTCTACGACCCACTTTTAAATGCTCCTAACAGGTGGAGGCCAAATTGATCTTCTCCACCCTTCAAACGAGCTCACAGTTAACCGCAGGAGGGAGAGCCCTGTCTGTGCCCGGCCTAGTCACCAACTCTCCTCCCTACCTGGGAGGAAGCTCTGTAGCTGTCCCTGGGATTGGAAAGAGGCCGGCTCTGAGATTCTGTAGAACAGGATGCATTTGAAGATGTTTCATCAAGTGACACTGGAAGGGAGGGAAATAAAGTCAGTCCTTAGCAACTGCTTGTGGCTCTCCACCCACCTTGTTAAGGGCACTTACCATCATTTTCACCACTCACAGTGCTGGTTTCATTAGACCCGCAGCTCTCCACGTCAGCGGTGTCCTCTGGCTCTTCCCCCTCCACTGCGGCCGGACTGCGAGACCACTGCAGGGCATCCTTCTGTGACGGCCAAGGGACACCCAGGTGAGCAAAACCCCACAAATCCTCCAAGCACAGTAGCCACTTATAAATGTGCACTGGTTTTCCCTTTCTAACCAACCTTTCTCAGCAAGTTCTTTTCATACATGTATCAAGAAAGTTAGATGAAACTTTGCATCCAATCATTCATTTAACATTTATGAGGTGCCTCTTATAAGTTACACCATGCTAGTTTCTGGGGGAGGGAGGCTTATTGGGAGCAGGAAACAGGGCCCTGCCCTCAAGGAGCTGAACTGAGTAGGGGGAAAAATCAAATCTACTATACTACAAAGCACAGTGAGAACAGTATACAGACAAAAGTAGCAGTAAGCAGAAGGCATGTACGTCGTTATGTTTGAGGGAAGAGGGCATGGAGTATGGAAAGTAAGGAGCTGAGTTTTAAAAGATGTTTAAAAATTTTAAATTAAAAATTAATAAATAAGAGACATTAACCAGTAAACAAATGGGTTGGTAGTGGGGAGAAAGGAAGGAGTTCTAAATAATGGGATGAGCAATGTAGAAGAACACTCCAAACTCAAAGAAATGGCAGATTTCAGTAGGTGTGTAGGGAATTGGATATGTGAGGAGGCTAGAGATCTTTCTAGCAAGAGGGTAGATAAGACAATGTGTGCTGAGGGATTAAGATTTTGACTGTTGCAGAGTCTCCACAGTCAGGGAAATGATTAGAGTTTTAGGAATTTCATTCTGTCAAGCATGGGGAGATCCAGAGGCAGGAAGAATTAGACTGAAAAAAGTGAAAATAATGAAGGTCTAAACTAAAGTAAGGCAGTGGGAACAAATCATGAGTGTAGAGGAGGGCTCCACTCCAAGTTTCATCTAACAAACGCTTCCAACAGACGCTCTTGCACAGCCTCAGAACTAAATTCCACCCATTCCCAAGAAAAACTCAGGAGCTACCTCACGCCCCAAAACTAGGAAGGAGTATGAATGAATACTGGAGTTTGGAGAGAAAAGGAGCTGAGATAAGTTGGGACGGGATGTCGTCTTCTTTGAATAAAAGTGTGTGAAGAGGGTAGGTAAAAATCAAGGTTCTACCTCTTACATCAGAAATGTGTAAGGGAAATCCACAAAATTCTAACTCATCAAAATTTCATGGGTCCATTTATCTACTATATTAAGTTTTCATCGATTTATTCTCATTAATTTAAGCCCAAATCAGAATGACTTAAATTATAAGAAAGAAAACGGCTTTTTACATTTTTATCTCTTTTCCCTACTGGCTGGAAATGCTTCTCAGAATCAAAAGCTAAAGAAAAATTTTAGTATTAAGCTTGCAATTATGTTTATTAACTGTTACATTCTTGGAATGATGCGAATTTATCTCTGGCCCCACAGGTAAAACTAAGATAAACTATTCATTAATGAATGGAGGAAGTCTACTACATTGACAAAACTGATCCCAAGGCTCTAGTTCTGGCAAAAGCGTGGGGAAATAACGCATGCATTGTTGGCGAGAGCGAGATGGCTACCAAAAGGTTCAGACACTGCCGTTGGAAAAGTGAACTATAAGCAAATATCTAAAAAACAAAATGTGTATACCTTAAGCACACTTCTATTTGAGACACAGAATGTATTTAAATATAATAAACTTAAAAAATAATCCTTCAAAAAGAAAATTAACCAACTGAACTACATTAAGTTCCTCTGTTCAGCAAAAGACACCATTAATGGAATAAAAACGTTACCTATGGAATTGGAGAAGATATCTGCAACTTATATTACCAATAAAGAACTTGTATGTAGACCATGTAAATAAGTAAACAAAAAACAACTCAGAAGAAAAATAGGCAAAAGATGTGAATTAGGCACTGCACCAAAGAGAATATCCAAAAGACCAATATTCACATTAAAAGGTATTTAACCTAACAATGAGGAACACACAAAATTATGCAAATTAAAACCACAATGAGGTATCATCACATCTTTAAGAACTAAAATTAAAGTTTAAATAGTGTTAGGATATAAAACAGGTACACTGAAAATGGGTCCAACCATTTGAGAATAGAATCTGGCATTATCTGGTACAGTTAAAGATACAAATACCCTATGACCTGGCAATGTCAGTCCTAGGGTTGGATTCCTTAGAGAAATATATATGTCTATACACATCAAAATTTACATCCAGATGTTAATGGCAGCACAATCTGTAACTTAGGCTATAAACAACCAAAGTACATATCATCAATTAAATACATGGTTAGTGTACTCAACAAATGGACATTATGAAATAAAAAAGAAATGAACTACAGCTACTCACTATATATGGGTGATTCTTAAAAACAAAATATTGAAAGCACAGAACATATGAATGCAAACTATAATAATTCCATCTATAAAAAGTTCAAAGACAGACAAAATTAAACTATAGTGCTGGGGATGCTAATACAAGTGGGGGAAAAATAAAGAAAAGCAAGAAAATAACTTCCATAGAGTCAGGCTGGTAGTTACCTTTGGGGGAATGAAGGGGTATGTGGTGGATTCTGGCTACTGGCCACATTAGATATCGTGATCTGAGTAGGTGATAAAGGTATTTAGAGGCATACCTCAGAGATACTGTGGGTTTGGTCCCAGACCACCACAATAAAGCAATAAAAAGTCACGTGAACTTTTTGGTTTTCCAATAATATAAAAATTAAGTTTACATAATACTGTAGTCTGTTAACTATACAATAAATAGCCTTAAAAAAGTACATGCCTTAATTACAATATTCTATTACTAAAAATTGCTAACCATCATCTAAGCCTTCAGCAAGCCATCATCTTTTTTGCTGGTAGAGGGTCTTGCTGACTGACTAGGATAGTGGCTGCTGAAGGATGGAGTGGCTGTGGCAATTTTTTAAGACAATAATGAAGTTTTGCAGCATCAACTGATTCTTCCTTTCATGTACTATTTTTCTGTAGCATGAGATACTATTTGATAGCATTTTACCCACAGAACTTCTTTCAAAATTGGAGCCAATCCTCTTAAACCCGGCAACTGCTTTTAGCAACTAAGTTTATATAATATTTCTAAATCCTTTGTTGTCACCAAGAGCCGATCCCATCTCAAGAAACCACTTTCTTTGCTCATCCTTGAGAAACAACTCTTCATCCTTAAAAGTTTTGTCAAGAGATTTTAACAATTTGGTAACATCTTCAGACAATTCTAGTTCTAGTTCTCAAGCAATTTCCACCACATCTGCAGTTACTTCTTCCACTGAAGTTTTGAACCCCCTCTAAGTTTTGAACCCCCTCTGAGTTAACCATGAGGGTTGAAATCAACTTCTTCCAAACTCCTGTTAATGTGGGTATTTTGATCTCCTTCCATGAATTGCCTACATCCTTAATGGCATCTAGAATGATGAATACTTTCCAGAAGGTTTTCGGTTTATGCTGTAGATAGGAATCACCATCTACAGCCTTACCAAATGCATTGCTTAAATAATGAGACTTCTAAGTCAAAATTACTCCTTGATCCATGGGCTGCAGAATGGATGTTGTGTTAGTAAGCAAGGAAACAACATTAATCTCATTGTACCTCTCCATCAGAGCCCTTGGGTAATCGAGTGCATTGTCACTTAGCAGTAATATTTTGAAAAGAACCTTTTTTTCCCTGAGCCAACTGGTCTCAACTGTGGACTTAAAATATTCAGTAAGCCAAGGTAAACAGATGTGCTGTCATCCAGGCTTTGTCGTTCTATTTGTAGAGTACAAGCAGAGTAGCTTTAGCATAATTCTTAAGAGCCCTGCCCTAGGATTTCCAGAAGAGCATTATCAGCACTGGCTTCAAATTAAAGTCACCAACTACATTAGCCCCTAATAAGAGTCAACCTGTCCTTTGAAGCTTTGAGGCCAGGCAATGACCTCTCCCCTCTAGCTATGAAAGTCCTAGATGGCATCTCCTTCTAATATATGGCTGTTTCAATCTACACTGAAAATCTGTTGTTTAGTGTCGGTACCCTGATTAATTAACTTAGCTTGATCTTCTGGATAACTTGCTGCATAACTTACATCAGACCTAGCTCCTTCACTTTACGTTTTTATGTTATGGAGATGGCTTCTTTTTTTAAAGGCCTCATGATCCAACCTCTGCTAGTTTCAAACTTTTCTTCTGAAGTTTTCTCACCTCTCTCAGTCTTCACAGAACTGAAGAGAGGGCCTTGCTCTGGATAAGGCACTGGCTTAAGGAATGCTGTGGCTGGTTTGATCTTCTATCCAGACCACTAAAACTTTCTCTATATTAGCAATAAGGCTGTTTTGTTTTCTTATCATTCGTGTTTTTAATTTCCTTCAAGAGCTTTTCTGCTGCATTCATGACATGGCTAACTGGCACAAGAGGCCCAGCTGTGGGCCTATCTAGGCTTTCAACAGGCCTTCCTCACTAAGCTTAATCACATCTAGTTTTTGATTTTAAAGTGAGAGATATGCACTTTTCCTTTCACTTGGACACTTAAGAGTCCATTGTACAGTTACGAATTGGCCCAATTTCAAATTATTCTTGTGTTGCAGGAACCAGGGAGGCCCACGGAGAGGGAGAAAGATGGGGTAACCACCAGTCAGAGCAGTCAAAACATACACATTTATTGATTAACAACATAAATCGATCACCATCTTATATAATGAACGCAGTTCATGACACCTAGAAACTATTACAACAGTACAGCATTAAAGATCACTGATCACAGATCACCCTAACAACTATACTAATAAAGTTCAAAATATTGCAAGAATTACCAAAATGTGACAAAGAGACACAAAGTGAGTAAATGCTGTTGGAAAAATGACAAAGTTGCTAGATGCGAGGTCGCTATAAACCTTCAATTTGTTAAAAAAAAAAAAAAGAAAAAAAAAAGCCTATCTGTGAATTGCAACAAAGCAAAGCAGAAAGTATGAGTGTACAGTAGTTTCCATCAAGGAACACTACTATAGGCAGTCATTTGAAAAAAAGCTGCAGAATATTTAGTAAGAGAAATGCTGATGGA